TTTACCTGACCATGTATACGACATAGGGACAACTAAACCTGCAAATATACACTTTTACTTGTGTTGCTTAAGTTGGATGTCTACATATGGTTCTAATCTTCCTTTCTATTTTCACAGGCTGCTGTTGAGATTGGGTGTGAACCTAATGTTAAGAAACATATTCGTGGCATATTTATGGACAATGCTGTTGTCTCTACAAGCCCTACGCCAGAAGGAAATTTGTCAATAGATACTCATCATGAGCTTGCGGGTGTGAAGTGGCTTCGTAATAAGCCATTATCTAAGTTTGTAGATGCACAATGGTTACGGATTCAGAAAGCTGAAGAAGAGAAGCTCCTTCAAGTTACCATAAAATTGCCTGAACATGTTCAAGAAGAATTATTAAATGATGCTAAAGAAAACTATGTAAGTGATTATGTTAGCAAGTCCGCACAGCTTTGGAATGAGCAGCGTAAAAACATACTCCAGGATGCATTTTTGAACATTATTCTGCCTTCAATGGAAAAAGAAGCAAGAGCTCTCTTGACAGTTAGGGCAAAGAACTGGCTTGCTATGGAGTATGGAAGACATTTGTGGAGTAAGGTCTCTGTTGCTCCTTATCAGAAAAAGGAGGTTGACAATGACACTGAGGACGAGTCAGATTTACGTGTCATGGCCTGCTGCTGGGGACCTGGAAAACCAGCCACTACTTTTGTTATGTTGGATTCATCTGGGGAAGTTGTAGATGTCTTGTATGCTGGTTCTATTAGCAGTCGATCTCAATCTGTTGCTGATAAACAGCGCAAGCAACTTGACCAGCAACGTCTCTTGAAGTTTATGACAGATCACCAACCACATGTTGTGTGCTTGGGAACAGCGAATTTGTCTTGCAGACCGCTGAAAGATGATATCTATGAGGTAATTTGGACATTTTAAGTTAATGGTTCGGCATGAATATGATTTTCTGTTGACTTGGATTTTTTCCGCCCGCCACACATCTCTTTTTTCGTTTCTCTATTATTCAACACCAACATCCTGTAGTCTTCATCTTTTTCGTTTATGCTCCTTTTTTAATCTTTTCTCGTTTCTTCTATTCTCACTTAGATTTTTGTTTTTTCAGCTAATCAAAGTTGCATTGTGCTTGTGACTTTCGATGGGTGTATATCCATTTAAAATTGTGCATTGAGTTCATGTATCCAAACCATTAAGAAATGATCAACCATACTGGTTCTCCATAGAGTAATTTACTGGATTTGAGTTCAATTTCGGTACTTTCCACTTTGGTCCTGTTTCTTATATGTGTCATATTTTTGTTAAGAATCAAGTAGAATTTAGCTGGATTTATGCCTTCCAAGTTTTCTTTCTAAATTGCTCTCCAATAACAGGCACGCCTAAACTTACGAAAATATCATACTTGTAGCTTAATTTCAGTGTTTAGGGAACTTGCTTTGTTTGAAACGGTAGATGGGTGTCAATGGCTTGAGGCCTGATGTTTTCTAAACGTGAGTTGTTGTGATTAAGTGAATTGATCCTATCATAGTCATCCGAATTGGTCTTACGTATCCATATGGATCCAGTAAGAAACTAAACTGTAGATAGTATTGGTGATTGTTCTCTTGCATTGGGCTACTATGCAATACAAGCCAGCAAAATGCAGAAAGCTTCTTCACGTAGTATCTTGGTAGTCAGATGTGAAACTAACAGAGATGACTAAAGATACTTTTCTTCACGTGGGTGTTTTTTTTTTGTGTGTGTGTGTGTGTAGAGAGAGAGATACACAAACACACACATGTATGTATCTAGACTCATATATATGTATATATGTGTGTATATATACATACATATGTGTGTGTGTATAGTAAAGCTCTTGTAAACTTTGTTGATAGGGGTGTGTGTGTGTGTGTAGAGAGAGAGAGATACGCAAACACACATATGTATGTATCTAGACTCATATATATGTATATATGTGTGTATATATACATACATATGTGTGTGTGTATAGTAAAGCTCTTGTGAACTTTGTTGATAGGAGCTCTTTGTCCACCAATTTTTTATTCATTGATTTTTCTTTGAGATTTGTGCTAGCATATGGTACACATCAAGGCACATATCTCAAAGATAGCTTTGATATGTAGCATGAATCTCAAAGCAAAATCAAGGGATAAAAAATTTGGGATCAAGAGCTCCTACACACTTAAGTTTAATCCCCCCTGGGCGCGTGGAAAAAAACACGCACACAATTTTAGAAATATATAAAATTAATGACATAGGTTTGCATGACTTGCAAAATGGCAAAATGTTGGATCAAGTTGGCCTGGGAGTGCTTCATTGCTGCTTGCTTTCACTGCATTCTTGAAGGGATTCTAATTTAACATGGAAAACTTGGAATCTGCTTATGTTTGTGCGCACTAATTTTCCTTTTTATCCATGGGCATAGTTTTGATGGGTAGGTAAAGCATGTGAATTGCAAGTAATCTATCAGCTGCTGATTATTGCTGCTGATGATTTTGCATTACACTTGTATAGAACTTTATCTGTTGAGGAGAACTGCCATTTCCCTTTATGTTTGAAAAGTGTGTAATTTTGTTATGAAACAAAGTATCCGTTCTGCTCAAACTTCTGTTGGTGAGCTGCATTATTTTCAGTGGAGACTTATCTTTACTGGTAATATTAACTTAAAGAAGCAGTTAAAAATCACATTTCAGCGGTTTTCATAGAAGTATTCAAGTATCTTAATAGTTTCGTTGTTTCAAGTAGCAGATCAATTCTCACATTGACATTTTTTATACTTCTGTCAACCAGGTTATTTTTAAGATAGTGGAAGATCACCCTAGGGATGTCAGCCAAGATATGAATATCAATATTGTATTTGGCGATGAATCTTTGCCTCGACTATATGAGAATTCACGAATTTCTTCAGATCAGCTACCTGCCCAACCAGGTAAGACCATTTTCGATTATTTAGCTAGGGGGTTAAACTCATAGGCACGTAGTATGACGTGTTCCTCCTGATACAGGTATTGTTAGGCGTGCAGTGGGTCTTGGACGGTATCTTCAAAACCCATTGGCAATGATCACCACATTATGTGGACCAGGAAAAGAAATTTTGTCATGGAAGCTGTGTCCTCTAGAGCATTTTCTCACTGATGATGAAAAATTTGAAATGGTTGAGCAGGTAATGGTTGATGCTACCAATCAGGTTGGTCTGGACATTAATTTAGCTGCTAGTCATGAATGGCTTTTTGCTCCTCTACAATTTATTTCTGGTCTTGGACCCCGCAAGGCTTCTGCATTGCAAAGGGCATTTGTCAGGGCTGGGTCCATTATCAACCGGAAGGAGATTCCAATGGGCAAAATTCTGAGGAAGAAAGTTTTTATTAATGCCGTTGGGTTTTTGCGTGTTCGTCGCAGCGGGGCAGCAGCAGCTAGTAGTCATATCATGGATTTATTGGACGACACGAGAATTCATCCAGAGTCATATGACCTGGCAAAGAATTTGGCCAAAGATGTTAGAGCTGAAGATTTTGAGCACGGAGAGGATGAAATGGATGACGATGATCTAGAAATGGCAATTGAACATGTAAGAGATAAGCCTGAAATGCTCAAAGCGCTTGATATTGATGCATATGATGAATCTTATTTTAGAAATCATGGAACTAGAAAGTGGCAAACCTTTCATCTTATAAAGATGGAGCTGTTACATGGTTTTCAAGATTGGCGTGTCCCGTTCACAGAACCAAGCCCGGAGGAGGAGTTCTGTATGCTTTCTGGTGAAACTGAGGATTCCTTACCAGTAGGAAAACTTGTTCAGGTTTCAGTTCGTCAAGCACAAGATGGCCGTGTGTTTTGCATGTTTGATTCTGGTTTGAGAGGATTTATTATGGCAGACGATTTTTCAGACAAGGGTTACGAACCTGAGAAAGTTCAAGAAGGTGATGTGCTTACTTGCAAGATCAAGAATGTCAACAAACAGAGGTTTATTGTGTACCTGACATGCAGAGAAAGTGAGCTAAGCAAGAGACCACTTTATATTCGCAATCTTGATCCGTACTACAAAGAAGACGAGGTTAACCGACAGAGTGAGCAGGAGAAGGCTCGGAAAGAAAAAGAACTTGCAAAGAAGAATTTTAAGCCAAGAATGATTGTGCATCCTCGCTTTCAGAACTTGACAGCTGAAGAAGCAAAACAGGTACATTTCCCTCTACTGTGGAAAGCTCTCTGCATGCATTGCTCCACATCATGTTATATTGATTTTCATAATTACCAATCATGTGAGTTGAACTAATTACAGTGTGCTCTGGCAGTACCTTGCAGATAAGGATGCTGGAGAGAGCATTATTCGTCCGAGTTCTAGAGGACCATCATTTTTGACTTTAACAATAAAAATTTTTGATGATGTCTATGCTCATAAGGACATACTTGAAAGTGGAAAAGATCACAAGGATATCACGAGCTTACTTCGTCTTGGAAAAACTTTAACAATTGATGAAAAGACATTTGAAGATCTTGATGAGGTCAGTATTATTGTTAACTTGTTTTTACAGGCTTCCTTACTGTATGTCCCGATTAATATTGGAATATTATGTCAAGTGTGCTTGACAAGACATAGATGTTATTAATAAAGATTTTCTAGATCAAGTCTTGTAACTGTGTACGCATGGTGATCAAGTAATACATGATATTTTTATCATTTTATATTTCTGAAGTGTTTTGATATTTTTCTTGTTTCTTTATTATATAAGGACAAGCATCAGGAACATGTGTATTGTTATTCACGTTCAGGCGCACCAGGAAGAGCACATAAAATCCTATAATTTTAGAATGAAACATAATAGAGCTGCAAATGATGTTAGTTTATTGTGTAGCTCTTCATGTGGAATTTTAGCTCATTCGAGATTTGTGGATTCCTGTTCATCAAGAATGTTATGTTGCTCAATTCTTCCCAGCTGGTTTCAGCGTTTTGCTAATAGTGCTTGACTTGATACATGCAGACCATTTTTTATGGTCTTAATAGTTCTTACATGGTTGAGGTCTCTCATTTCTTTCTAATTTTTTTTTCAGGTAATGGATAGATATGTAGTTTTTACGTGGTTGAGGTCTGTCATTTCTTTCTATATTTTTTTCAGGTAATGGATAGATATGTTGATCCGTTGGTAAGCCACCTGAAAAATATGCTTGGTTACCGCAAATTCAAGAAAGGCAAAAAGTCGGAAGTTGATGAATTATTAAAGGCGGAGAAGGCACAGAATCCAAGGAGGATAGTTTACTGTTTTGGCATTTCTCATGAGCATCCGGGAACATTTATTTTATCATACATTAGGAGCTCAAACCCTCATCATGAATATATTGGATTGTATCCCAAGGGTTTTAGGTTTCGAAAGACAGACTTCGATGACATTGATCGCCTTGTGTGTTTCTTCCAGAAAAATATTGATAAACCGCCACCAGATGCCCCTATCGGAAGTGTTGCCGCAAGGGTCCCTATGAAGAGCCCATCATGGGGCTCCTCTGCTGACGATGGATGGAGAGGTCAAACAAATTCAGAAAGGGCGCGATCAGGCAAGTTGAAACCAGGATTCACATTCTTTACCTTCTATTTTCTAAACATGAAACTAAATAGATATCTCTGCATAGTTATGATGGTACAGTATATTGGTAGTAATTCTAAGGTCTTGGCATGGTGTAATATAAAATTACCCATTTTAGAACATCTGAAAAATTCCACGAGTCAACATGATTATTTCAAACACATTCAGAAAGGAACCAATCAGGCAAGTTGAATCCATGGTGTAGATTTTCATTTATTTATTAACTTTTAAGCGTGAAACCTTCTTTCAAAAAACTAAACAGACATATATTAGTTATTTTGTTTATACAGTATTTTGGTAGCAATTCCAAGGTCTTGGCTTGGTGTAATATATTCCACATTTTAGAATATATGAAAATTTCCAAATGAATTAGCATAACTCTTTCAAACAGGAGGAAGATCTGAGTATAGGAACAATTACGGCGGTGACAATCAGGATGGCCATCCAAGTGGGCTTCCTCGTCCAGGGCGGGGAGGTCGTGGGCGTGGCGGTCGTGGAAGAGGACGTGGTGGCCGGGATTCAAGAAACGACGATTTCGTTTCTTCGCCTAAATGGGGCGGCGGTGGCTCAGGTCCAAGAAATGATGATGGTGGTGGCTTGAGCAGCTTTCCTGGGGCCAAAGTACAAGACTCCCCTGGTACGGAGAGATTTCCTGGCGGCTGGGCTGGTGGGGCTGGTGGTGGTGCCAGTGGCGGTTCATGGGTCAGTGGTAGTAATGACAATGGTGGTGATGGTTGGCGAGGTAGCACTGCGCGGCTGGGTGCCTAAAAAGGGTTGTGGGGATAGCAGCGGTGGTGGAATGGGGATGGGCCGAGATGGGGGTGGCGGTGGGGCTGGGTTGGTGGTAGCTCTGGGGGCGGTGGTGGTTGGGGTGGTGGTGGTTCTGGAGGGGGCAGCTCTGGTGGCAGTGGTGGCTGGGGTGGAGGTGGTTCTGGAGGGTGGTGGCACTGCTGGCGGTAGCGGTGGGTTGGGCTGGACGTGGTGGTTCTGGGAGGAGGTCGAGGGATGAGTCTGAGTCGGCTTTGGAGGCGCTGGGTGGGTTGGTGGGTGGTGGTGGGTGGTGGTTCTAAGGGACCCGGTTGCTCAGGCTGAAGGGGGGTAATGGGTGGTCCGGAGGCGGCGGCAGTGGTTGGTAACAGCGATAGTAGCATCTGCAGATTTTCGGGCAGGCATGTTTATGTTTTATAGTGTTTCATGTCTTCAAGGAATGTGACTGTTTACTCAGCTATATGGGATTTAACCATTGACACTGCTTTCATGTATTTGTGTAATTCTGCCTCCTGGGTGTTTCTCCTGTTTTGGGTGGGGGAAGGGTTATTATTTGGGGTCTCTCTTCCCTTTGGACGGGGTTCCAAGCTCAGAGGTTGAATAGAAACAGTGTAATGGATGAAAATTCAAAAATGTTTATTGCAAAAGTATGTTCTCTGTTTTTTTTATTTATTTCTGTAAGGAATATTTTCTCTGGTTTAGTTTTTTCTCGTCTTCGTACTTCAAATTTTGGTCATTGATAAGTGCGCGTGTAGCAATTCAGACAGCAATATTGTTTGAGTTTGTAGCATTAACGTTAGTTGCTGGGTATGGTTTGAACCTAACTTGAGTTCTGTATCCCTAAGATTTTTGTCAAGTTAAGAGTCAGAGTAGAAAGAAATTTGATCAATAATCCTCGCTTATTTGCCTTTCTTTTCTAAGGAGACTTTTAAGAGTTAATATTGTAAAAAAAAAAAATTCTAGCTTTGAGATAGGTTTTATCGAAAAATATCCTAAAACAGAGGGTTCAGAAAAGACCAACACTATTGCAATAGTAGTGTTACCTTTTTTGGGTATGAAATTCAACCTGTTCAGAGATTTTGGCTGTTTTCGGTAAACCTTTAAAACTAAGCCAGGACACTCCGGGATTGAACCCGACCTAGTTTTGGATCTGTTTTTTATTAGATAAAACTAGGCCACTTCTGGCGCAATTCTCTGGGGCCAAAAAGAGGTTACAAAATCAATTAATATTGGTTTACCACCCTCTTGGTCCAATTCTAAACTGGTTTAAAATACAATTGAGCCAGGATTAAACGTGACCTTATTTTTGGGCAACTGAGGGTGTGTACAGCAAAACCCTCAAACCTGGATCATGACTAATCCTGACCCAGTTTTAAGGTAAACTGGAGGGATATGGTTCAAAAAGGAATTTGTTTTAAGCCTATTATTCAATCTAAAAGAAACTGGCCATAACTGGCTAGAACAAGCCTAGTGTTTGGTAATCAAGAAACAAATTCAAAATTGAGTCAGGTTCGCTCCTGACCTAGTTCTAAGGACTTGCCAAACACACCATATGACTTTTTTTGAAAACTTTGTTGATCGTAAGAGAGGCTATGTTCCTTTTTTTTTTCTTTTCCTTTCCTTCTTTGTGATTATCTCTCAACTTTTCAAGTACCAAGTAGTAAATTTTTTTCTTACAAATGACATTATTATGCACGCTCGTCAAGTTACCTTGATTCACTCAGAGTTTTGTTTGGCAAAAAAAAATTACTTCCAATTTGTTGCTAATCTATACAGTATATACTATACATTTGAAAAGATAGAAAGGGCCAAAAAAAAAAAAAAAAAAAAAAAAAAAAATCCTCCATGCGCGTCACAAGTTTAGAAATACCGTCGTACATTGAATATTTAAAGGAAACACCATGCCTGTTGCAAAAAAGTTAATGGAAATTGATTCATACATGGGGAAAAAAATCAATGTGAACGCGTTTTTTGGCAAATCACTAGAAAATGCTCCCGCAGTTGAAAAAGTCAACGACCCTCACATTTGAGAAAAAACGAAAATTCCCTCAAAATTTTTTTTTTGGGGGCAGTTGAAATCGCTTCATCTTCCTGTGATGCTTATGCCAATGTCAAGCTTATGGAGAAACTTTTACCGCATGATTTAACAATCATATTTGAAAATATCTAAGAAGATAAGAGCAATAATTGACTTAAGTAGTTATGAAGTCGCACAGTTCCCTAATAACCCAAAGAAAAATTCTTTAAGGACCCAAAATATGGGACCAATAAAGAAGACAAGTGAGGTGTTTTCCTCCTATTGGATAATGAGTTGACCATCATTAATGATGACCAACTCATTATCCAATAGGAGGGAGACACATGACTCATGGCCATGGGTCAGTGACTCGCAAGGACCGGCTCACCGTTAGCCTGGGCTCACTGTGGCATTTTTGTAATTTAAATTATTAGGGTTTTGTTCCTTCTAAGAAAATTGGGTGGTTTTATATCTAGGGTTTTCTCATTTTACGGCGGCATCTTCCAAATTCGATCGAGAAGAAACCATGACTGCTCAGACCCAAGAAGAACTCCTCGCAGCTCATCTCGAGCAGCAAAAGATCGATGTAAATCTCCTCTCCCTCTCTCTTACTTACTCACTTGATCTTTGAAAGAAGCTATAAGCTTGGTTTCTTAGTAATTGGTTTGGTTTGATTATAGATTTGAGATTAGTTCATGTCTTGTTAGTTCATTTGTTGCTTGATTAGGAAAAGTTTCTGATGTTTTTGTTTGGCTAAATCGTGATGTTGACTAAGATTTTAGGTGAAATTTTCTGGGTGTTGAAGTGTTGGATTCGCTTAAGTGGTAATGAAATAGTTCGGGGTCGAGTAAGCGTGAGAGGGCTTAGAAACAGAACAAAGTTGATGCACTTATGTAATTTCGTATAAATTCCTTCGAAGAAAGTTGGGGTTTGTTTCCAGTTGCAAAATTTCATCAAATCTCACGCAGTAATCGTTCACCAGCTCATGAGCAGTCTTACTTGTACTTGTTTAACTTGAAGGCAAAAGTTCATGCCTCCATCTCTTTAACTCATCATGTGTTTGTTGCTATTTTGGTTGTGTTGAGTCTATGGGTTAGAAATTCTCACCGTTATGACCTTATATACTCGCTTGCTTGGGGCATATTGCAGAAAAAAAGTCAGTTTTAAAGAATTTCGTTGAAACCCATTATGAGATTTCTGGATATGTCCGTATTTCTAGAAGTCACTTAAGAGAAAATACATTCTCTGAATGATCACACAAGCTGTGGCGTATTCTTCCAATCTTTTAAGAATCAATTTATTAGCTTGCGATGTAATAACTTTATTAGCTGCTGTAGATTATTATTGACACAAGAAATTCCCATCTAAAACATGGTTGTATCTGAATTAATTAGCTTGTGATGTGGTCACTTTAGTAGCTGCTATATATTATTATTGACAATAACAAGCAATCTGAGATGCTTTAACAGTTGGAAACTTACTTTAAACTTTAATTTACCATTATAGGATAATTACTGGAAGAAATCTGTTAGGAGAATAATCCAATTACATATGGTTTAGAAGTTTTTATCCATCAAAAGAATGGGTGAAGAAACTTTTAATTGTTTGATTTACTTCATTTCACATAATGCAATAATTTTTTATTCTAACATTGGCAAAATCCTTCTCGTTTAATTTATACAAATTTTAAGTTTTTTGATTTTTTGTTAATACAAAGCTAATGCAAACCGATCACCTCAAACTTGATAGTTGTGTTAACCATCCTTACTACTACTATGACAACAACATCAACAACAATAACAAACAACAAACCCTTTATCCCAAATGTTTGGGTTAGCTACATGAATCCTATTCTTCCATTCCGTTCTATTCTGAGCTATGAGCTATCTCCTCTATTAAGATAACCATTATCATATCCTTTTTAATTGCTTCCAACTAAGTTCTCTTAGGTCTCCCTCTAGATCTCTTTGCCGCATTAACTATAATATTATCATTTTTCTTAACCGGTGCACTAAGAGGTCTTTGTTGTACGCGACCAAATCACCATAGTTGATTCTCTCTCATTTTATCCACAATCGGAGTCATCTCCTCTAGTTAACTATGGATGCATTCATTTCTTATCGTATCTTTTAGTGTATATTCGTAACATTCTCATTTCTGATGTACTCATTTTTTGCACATGCTTTTTAGTTGCCCAACATTCCGATCCATAAAGTATTGATGGTCTTTTAACCATCGTTACTGATAGCTAAAAATAACTTTATAGATTCCATTACCTAAGACTATCTGCCATCTTTATTCTGGATATATTTGATATTGTAAATTTCCTCCTTTTGAAGAATAAAATGTTCTCTTCTTTCCGATTTGGATGCACCTTTTATTTCTTTGATCTGGAAAATGTAAATATTAGCGTGCTCCCATTTTGTGTTTTGGTTTTGTTGTGTGGTTTGTTATCATGCCGTCTGCTTTCTATGTTTAGTGAATGAATTAATTCTGTGAAACGTCTATGTTGTTCATCTATTCTCTAAGTTATTTAACTAGTATCTATGTTATTAATCTTATCATGCAGCCTGATGAGCCTGTAGTTGAAGATGATGATGATGAAGATGATGATGAGGATGATGATGATAAGGATGATGATGCTGAAGGTTAGTCAATAATCCTATCTAGAAAGTCATTTAGAACCTTTTCTGTTCCACTCTCTTTAGTAAAGCATCCTTCCTAGTTTTGTGGACTTTTGCAGTCTTTTTGCTCAAAAATAGAAATATCAAAGTATGGAATATTTTTTTTCCTGATATGCTTTTATTTGTTTCTGCTCATACTGGGGATTATTTAGCACATTTATATAGCTGCGCACAGGCAAGGCAAATTCAAAAGTAGAATCCTTTTTCGTCCAATTAAAAGTGGACAATTCTAGGTTATATTGTCTGCTTATCCACACATTTACCATTTTTTCTGCATCTTTGTCTTCATGTAGTTGATATACAAGAGGAATTGGTTGGTCTTCTCCTTCATAGAAATGTTAACAACTCATCATTCTTTCTCCCTGTACCATCTTGAATCTGTGCTTTGGCGGAGCCTAGTGTTGCTCATTCAGACAGCTTTTTTATTAGGGATGTTAAATGGGTGGGTTTGGGTGTTAAATGGGCGGGCCATAAATGGGCGGGCATGTTTTGCCCATTTACCCATTTATGGCCCATTTAACATTATTTAAATGGGCGGGTTTTTGCCCGCCCATTTAATAAACGGGCTGCCCATTTGCCCATTTAACTATAATTACTATATATGTATAATACTTTTGGGGTTTTTTTGTAAACTTTAGAGGGCTTTTTGTAAACTGTTGTGGGTTTTTTGCAAACTTTTTAGGGGCTTTTTGCAAGCTTGTTGGGGCTTTTGATAAAATACTTATAAATATAGGAACATAAACAAAGATAAACAAAGACAGACAAGTTCATGATTGAACCATTTACAAGCCTCGATAAAAGTACAGACCTCACACATTTGCAAAATTAACCTCAGATTTCCAAACCAAAAACCAAAAGATCAATAACAACAAAATTGCGAGAATATTTAAATGAATCAAGATAGAAAACACAATGTATGTAAGGATCTGTATAAGATGAATAACTTAATATACATGCCATCATAACTATCAGCAATACAATACGATCACGATTAGTAAGGACAATCTACTTAATTACTTGATAAACTAGAAGAGTAGTAAGTTACGCTGCAAAACCCAAAAGTTCAAAGAAATCCTGGTCCAAAAAGCTCAGATTGATTAGGCAGTCTCCTCTTAGTCTCATCAAGCTCAAGGCATCAAAAGCTTATCTTAAATATCTGTTTACGTCCAAATCTGGATGCGCTGACGAGTTCGATGCAGCTCCCAGAGCAGAAGAGACTCATACACGCCCAGCTCAATTTTGGTCACAAAAAAGCAGTGGCAATAGCAGCTCTCAGCAGCCAGAATCCTGGTGTGATCACAATAGCTAATGCTGTGTTTGGGGCGAAGCCATTGATTCCTGATGATGTTCTTACCAACTGGTGTGATCACAATAGCTAATGCTGTGTTTGGGGCGAAGCCATTGATTCCTGATGATGTTCTTACCAAAGCCTTCCAGGTTGACAAGAAGACAGTGGGCTGGCTCAAGTCTCAATTCTGGACAGATAACCACTAGAATTAATTAATTAATGATTGAAAAGAGAATATGATGATTTCCACTGCTACTATAAGTATTCATTGTATTAATTAATAAACACTGCATATTTGTATTTGGTCTACAACAGTAAGTACAAAATAATTGGACAGATTTTTTTAAACTAATTTTCCTCTAATGGTCAAGCTGTGCGTTTATTAATAACACGTTATAGACAGTCCTTGCATCTTATTCTAAAGAAGGAACATCTATCTTCGTTCATAATTATTTCATTTCCTCGCACTTTAAATGCTTAATTGAGCCTTTTTATTTGAAAACAAAGTCCAAATGTACCAAACCAGAGGATGCAAACAATTCAAGAGGTAAAACAGCGCACGTACAAATAGATAGGATAAAAGCGAAGAATAAAAAATGGGCCGGACCTTGAGGATTTCCGTGACGGATTACAGCAAACTATAGGCCTCGCATGTTTCAAGCTAGAACAAAATGTGCTTACTCAAAGGGGCACATATTACGTCTAATTTTTCTACCTAACCATAAAAAATTTTCTGATAATAGCCTTCCCCGTTATCACCTATAATAGAGAAGATGGTCATATTCCAGTTATCAACAAAACCAGGGTGTATCAAGAGACAATAGTTTATTCACATCGAGATTCAAGATCACGCATGTAACGTATTTCCTCTAGACATCAATAGTATTGCACAAACATATGCATTGACATGCACTTGAGATTCTACTTGTAGCAGATAACCTTTAGGTGTAAAACAATGAATGTAATTTCACTACAAAAAGAAAAGGTCTAAAAGAGCAAGTCATATATGGCGGATAAAGCAGACAGACCTTAAACGACCAAACAAATATTTGAAATAATTGCACAAGAAGTCTCACTCATGGGTGGAACTAAGAAACATACAAAGGTCCAGTGCACACTAACAGCTAAATGATTACATTACATGATAGCAAACCATTAACATCCCCCCAAACCAAAAGCAAAACATGCAAAAAAGGGTTAGCTGGGGGGGCATTCCGAGAATCGAACTCGGGACCTCTCGCACCCAAAGCGAGAATCATACCACTAGACCAAATGCCCTTAACTGAGACTTCACATATCCGTCAACAGAAATATGAGTAGGTAATCAGGTCAATTTTCCATGCTGCGATCTTACTGAATGTGGTACATATTAACAGCAAAGATGGTTTATATGCATTTGTCATCTAAGAGTCTCGACCGCTAGATTCTAATTCAAAGACCACACTACAGATGTAATTTATTTCAATCTCGAACTTTAATATGAGGGCCATGATGGCACAGAATCTCATATTGATGATTCAGGTACAGGTAATAATAAAAATCATGAACAAAAATCTAATGTAACACTAATTCATATACCCTTAAGTGTCCAGACTACTTTAAGCATATACGATATGCCTTGGTCAGCTAACTTTATAATTTAAAGGCAGTATACTACTACCTTCATAATTCAATATCATAAAACATATTGTTGTGCATGTACCACGAGGATCCTCTATGACTTCAAATTACTATTCTTCAAAAAAATATACAGAAATTACTTGGAGAAAAATAACGGCAAAGAGCACTATTAAGAAAATATTCCAAAAAATGTGCAATAAAAGTGCACATTGCTTAAAATAGAAAAGAACAATTTTGGGCCTGACAGTAATAATCATTTTGTGAAATTGCAATTTCAATAGCCTATGAAACATACTAAAACTAGGATTGTAAAACCCAAATAAGACAATACCAGATATGAGAACATAGTCTTGAATCCACACACAAGCATATAACGCAGCAGGTAGAGCTACTAGAATCGGAGCCACACTTAAATAAATTAAGAACAAAGCAGGTAGAGATACTAGAATCAGAGAAACAAAGAGGGATTGCAGTGCTCGGAGCTCAATCCGATCAAAGTTATGAGCTTTTTCAACCTAATTCTGAGCATATGCAGTCAAGCAATCCAATTATTTGATCAAAGATTCTATAAACAAGAATAAATTATTTCGGTAAAGGGAGGCATGCATCAAGTAGCAATCTTTAGCTAAATTATAGTATAAATCTGTAAACAAATTGCTAAGAAATTCAATTAAAAGAAGAATTTACTTCAATATCGCAATTGCCTCACCATTTTGGGGATTCGAGGGAACGTAACGATCAAATGACGGAGTGCAAAGCCCTGACTGGTGAGTAAAGAGAAGCTGGATCCTCGTTTCGCGTCAAGGTCGAGGTCGAGATCGATTTGGAGGCGGAGGATAGGAGATCGATTGGAGATGCAGGCTGAGGTAGAGGCCGAGATCGAGCAAAGATTGGGGCTGAAATCAAGCGGAGATCGAGGTCAAGTCAAGGTCAACGTCGAGAGGAGATCGAGGCTGAATTCAGGCTGAGATCGAGTGGAGATCGAGAAGAGATCAAGGCTGAGAAGGAGCGGAGATTGGAGCTGGAGCTCACCACGAGAGGAGATCAGAGGCGAGCTCGAGAGGCGGTTGAGGCGGCGGAGGCGGAGGCGGAGGCGGCGGAGGAGGCGGCGGAGGAGGAGGCGGAGGAGGAAGGAGCAGGGTCGGGATTGATGCCGATGAGGAGAGATTGGAGATGACGGAAATAAATGAGAACTTCAGAAGGGTTAGGGCTTCGGGTTTTGGTTATCGGGCGGGCAAATGGGTGCATATAGACTGCCCATTTACTGCCCATTTAGTATAGACTGAAATGCACCCACCCAATTAGACCCATTTAACTAAATGGGTGGGTTTTAGGTGGGCCAATTGATGGGCGGGTTGGGTGGGTAAATGGGTATGGGCAAAACTTGCCTTCCCTATTTTTTATGTCCCAACTTCCTTTTCAATAGTTGCTTGAGATTTGACTTGATCAAATTCTAAAGAACATTAAAAATATTGTTGACTAATTCCCTACATGTGGGTCAGTGACAGTTGAGTGTGTGGGGGAAGCACATGATATTTTGTTAGTAATATCAGTTTATGGTAGACCTTGGAAATGTCTCTGCATGGGCTGCTTACTCTTTGCTTCATGATAGCTAAGATTCACTGCTCTGACATCTCATAACTTTTTGTTATGGAGAAATGCGGATGCTACTTGTGATTTCTGAAGGACTTTTAATTTTCAGCAAAATAATAATAAATTTTTATTCAGCTTTAACCCTACTTTGGATCTTGTTCATGATTTTTTTCACTGGTCTCTGTGTTGGGACACCTTGGTTTTTTCCCCTCTAAATTCTATTATTATTTTCAATTTCCTATCTAAGACATACATACATGCAGGTCAAGAAGGTGATGCCACTGGAAGATCAAAGCAGAGCAGAAGTGAGAAAAAGAGCCGCAAAGCTATGCTGAAACTTGGAATGAAACCCATCACAGGTGTCAGCCGTGTCACTGTGAAGAAGAGCAAGAATGTTAGTTCACCACCTGAATTTTTATCTTTATTTCGGGTTATTTGCACTTAAACACCCCAAGATTTACTCAAATTTTACCTTGACATTGATACACTAAAGTTGCCCAAAAAGTGCTCCAACTTTTGCTTCAATTTACTTTAAAACCCCCCCCCCCCCAAACCCAACCCAAAAAAACCCCTTAAAGCTCAACAAATTTTTACTTTGATACCCAAAAAATTAACTTTGATGTCCCAATCTTTAACAAAAATTTAAGTTTTGGTATCGAAGTTAAAATTTGTTGTACTTTGAGCTACTTTTTTGGGTAAAATACTAAGCCACCTGGACACTTCATCTTGGCTCCCGTATCCATGTTCGACACTTCCCGTATATCCGTGTCCGTGTCTGAGACTTCTTGAATATATACACATTTATTCCGATGTGTACTCAATTATATAATACATGTTTTAGTTTAAAACAATCGCAATGCACTTATTGGACATATCTTTTACAGTTCGACACAAATTTCTATAAGCTGTTGACTTGCGTCTGGTTTTTTTCCCGGGGTACGCAGTTCATAAGTATGATTTTAAAGGATCAATTGGGTATTTAGTTCAAAAACATGTAGTTTTTCAATTTAAAATCTATTTAATAAAAGAAACGTAAAAATGTTATAGAGATTTTAGTTTTCATAACATGTGAACGTAAAAAACAATATCAATCTCATATAAATTATTAATTTCATATGTATATATATAGTTGTGTCCCCATATCCTATCTCTTACAAATTTGTCGTGTTCTGTATCCGTACTTGTGTCTGTGTCGGCACCCGTATCCGCACCCGTGCAACATAGGTAAAATCAAACTTATGGGGTATCAAAGTTAAAAATGAAGTCAACATGGGGTATTTAGGTGCAAATAACCCTTTTTAATTTTCACTTTCAGCTACCTTCTTGCTATTTTTTGCTGATATTTTATGTCTTGCTCTCAGATACTCTTTGTCATATCAAAACCAGACGTGTTCAAGAGCCCAAACTCAGACACATACGTCATTTTTGGGGAGGCCAAGATCGAGGACCTAAGCTCTCAGCTTCAGACACAGGCAGCAGAGCAATTCAAGGCTCCTGATCTCAGCCATGTGGTCTCCAAACCAGAGACATCTGCAGCTGCTCAAGATGATGAAGATGTTGACGAGACTGGTGTTGAGCCCAAGGATATCGAGCTGGTCATGACTCAGGCTGGCGTTTCGAGGGCCAAGGCCGTCAAGGCCCTCAAGGCTGCTGATGGTGATATTGTGTCTGCTATCATGGAGCTCACAAATTGATGAGGTCATTCTGTGAGAGGATGTGCCTTGAGAGAGCAGCAGATTTTGTTTTGGTCTTTGCTCATAGAAAACTTGAGAACAATCCAATCTCTGTTATGTTTGTTGCCTATACCTGGAAATATTTTTACTCAAGGTGGTGTTGCATTAGTACCAGTATGGTTTTATCTGATTGATGATGCGTTATAATTAGGCTTCATTTTGAATGTCTGTCATGTGATTGTTTAGACGTTCATGTGCTGGCAATGGAGGGATGCTTCTGTTTCCAAAGAGTGATTGTTCATATGTTCTGATGTCATATGTGAACGGATCTTATTGTTATGGTGTTTGTTTACCGTGATTTATTGGTTTATTCCATACATGGCCTGCGCTCTTCTAAACTTTGTTAGTGTACGAGACATCTGCAAATATCTTCGGAGTTCTTCTTGTTTTTTTGGGGAAAATGTCCATTGATCCCTAAACCTCTCGCGGGGTCTCCAATCTTGACGAACCTTGTGTTATGCACTAATCGAAGGGTTCTCCTATCTTATTATTCAAGTAAGGGTATCATGATATCATTGAAAGCATGATGATACTAATCAATTATGTTACCTAAACAAATGGACAAGTTACATCACCTGTTTGATTTAATTCATTTCGTTAAAAGAAGAACCCAAGTGCGTTTTCCCACTACTGAGCAATTGATTACATATCTAATGTAGAGCCCTTTGGTCCTAAGTGGGTCCTGCTCCTTTCAACGAGTTCTCATCTTTGTTCCCACAATTTCTAGCAACATCCTCATGATTTTATCTTGCCTTGCATTGATGTGGACTCTCCCATTGATTGGAGAGGCAGGGCAACTTCCTTCCTTTTCCACCTTTAAATGTTAAAAAGATATAGTCTATGTGTTGGAAAAAAAAAGAGAAAACAAGAATATAAGTTTTATTAAAGAAAATGTTTCATTTACTCATGTCATGCTAACAGAGAGAATGACCAAATATATAAGCCTTACACCAAGTTAAACTTCTAGAAATCAGCAACAAACAATTTAAAAAACACATGACAATTGACTAAATAAACAACTAAACCACTACTAACATACTATCCTGAAAAATAGGAAACAACCTAATAACTAATTTTGAATCAGTTATTCAACATTCACCCTTGATTCAAAATTTTTTGTCATTGCTCTTGAATCTTCATAGAGCACTTCTCTCCGTAATCTTGTAAAGCACTTCTCTTCACTTTGTGATGCACTTCTCATCTCTATCTTGTTGATGCACATAATATAATCTTGTAAAGCACTTCTCTTCACTTTGTGATGCACTTCTCATCTCTATCTTGTTGATGCACATAATCACCAACATTCTCTTAAAGGAGCACATCTCTTCACAAATATTGATAGAACACTTGTCTCAATCTCTCCATGATGCACATCTCACCATGATTCATAGAATAAAATTTCTTCTTCAACTGCTTGTGCCATGTTTGCTTGTTCTTCACCATTATATCGGCAATATTTTTGGATACGACCAAATCTCTTGTATTTGTGACATTGAGGTTTTCCTTTATGCCAACAATCATTCTCCTCATGGTCAAGTTTTTTACAATGGTTGCATTGGACGCCTTTGCCTCTTCCTTTTGAAGATGAAGTCTTAGCTAATAAGGCTTCTTCAATTTTTTTCACCATTTTCTTCCTCCCTCATTGATCTCCTTTGGTCTACGACACTGAGGGCATTGACTAAATCCACTAGAGTTATTTTGGATAGGTCTTTAGAATCTTCAAGTGAGGAAATTTTGGACTCATACCTTTCAGGAACAGTCACTAAAATCTTATCAACCACTCTTTCATTTGAAAATATTTCACCAAGCAATCTAATTTGATTGACATTAGCCATAAGCTTACCGACATACTCTTTGATGGTCTCACATTTCTTCATCTTTTGCATCTCAAATTCCCTTTTGAGATTCAGAACTTGCATCAATTTTGTTTGATCGTTGCCCTCGAACTCTTCCTTTAGCATCTCCCACGCCTCCTTAGGTGATTCACAAATAATTATACTTGTGAAGATTCCGTCCGACACGGCCGAATGAATACAAGAGAGGGCTTTTGGCTTCTTTGCTTTTTCTTCGTCATGCTTCTTGATTTTTTAGGGTTGGATTTTGTGGAAGAGGGGTCGACTCATAGTCACTCTCAACAACCTCCCATAAACTCAAAGCTTTCAAATGTGATTTCATTTTGATAGCCCAAGATTGATAAATGTCTCCATTGAGGATGGGGTATGAAAGCGAAAAATTGTTGGATGCCATTAAAAAACAAAGGTTGATCACTCTATATTTTTTTTTAAATCCTCACAAACCCAAGAAAACTGGAGCTCTGATACCATGTTGGAAAAAAAGAGGAGAAAACAAGAATATAAGCTTTATTAAAAAAATGTTTCATTTACTCATGTCATGCTAACAGAGAGAATGACCAAATATATAGACCTTACACCAACTTAAACTCCTAGAAATCAGCAACAAACAATTCAAAAAACACATGACAATTGACTAAGTAAACAACTAAACCACTACTAACATACTATCCTGAAAAATAGGAAAACAACTAAACCACTACTAACATACTATCCTGAAAAATAGGAAACAACCTAATAACTAATTTTGAATCAATTATTCAACATTCCCCCTTGTTTCAAAATTTCTTGTCATTCCTCTTAAATCTTCATAGAGCACTTCTCTCCATAATCTTGTAAAACACTTCTCTTCACTTTGTGATGCACTTCTCGTCTCTATCTTGTTAATGAACATAATTCACCAACATTCTCTTAAAGGAACACATCTCTTCACAAATATTGATAGAGCACTTGTCTTAATCTCTCCATGGTGCACATCTCACCATGATTCCTAGAATAAAATTTCTTCTTCAACTGCTTGTGCCATGCGCTTGTTCTTCACCATTATATCAGCAATATTTTTGGATATGACCAAATCTCTTGCATTTGCGACATTGAGGTTTTCCTTTATGCCAACAATCCTTCTCCTCATGGCCAAGTTTCTTACAATGGTTGCATTGGACGCCTTTGCCTTTCCCTTTTGAAGATGAAGTCTTGGCTAATAAGTAGGGGTGCATTCGGTTCGGATACGGTTCGGATATGACCCTTACCATAACCATAACCACTTTCTAAAAACGGATACGGATACGGTTCGGATATTCATCGGTAAGAAAAAAACATTACCATATCCGCATTAAAACGGAAACGGATACGGTTCGGATATTAGAGGTTCGGATACGGTTCGGATACGGATACTAATCGGATATTTGGGAAATAAATATGAGTAGGATATGGCAAAAAATAAATATGATTTTAATAACTCACAAAGTAAGACAAGTAAGACAAGTTACCTCAAAACTTTGTTGCTATTCTGCATGACAAAGCTTAGAACACCATAGCGGGCCTTCTTCATAGGCTAAAAAAAGGGAACAAAGTATATGAAACGATGTTCATTACAAATAGCAACAATCCAATACATCGTGTATTATTAACAAGATATACCAAAGGCTAACTCAAATTTTCTACTTTCTTTAACATACCAACATTAACGTCCACACCCAAAGGACACTGAGTCATCCACGGAGAAGGGGGTTGCTGCATAATAAAGAAGAAAAGGAAGGTAAACGAGACCCATTTATAGTTACCCATGCAACCAACTGAAATCAACCAGAACAGTTCATCCAACCTCCCATTAAATGTGGTTGGTTTTCGAGATGGAGGCGGGTTTTCGAGCTCGGCGGCAGTGGGTTTTCGAGCTGGAGGCGGTTGGTTTTCGAGATGGAGGCGGGTTTTCGAGCTCGGCGGCAGTGGGTTTTCGAGCTGGAGGCGGTTGGTTTTCGAGATGGAGGCGGGTTTTCGAGCTCGGCGGCAGTGGGTTTTCGAGCTGGAGGCGGTTGGTTTTCGAGATGGAGGCGGGTTTTCGAGCTCGGCGGCAGTGGGTTTTCGAGCTGGAGGCGGTTGGTTTTCGAGATGGAGGCGGGTTTTCGAGCTCGGCGGCAGTGGGTTTTCGAGCTGGAGGCGGTTGGTTTTCGAGATGGAGGCGGGTTTTCGAGCTCGGCGGCAGTGGGTTTTCGAGCTGGAGGCGGTTGGTTTTCGAGATGGAGGCGGGTTTTCGAGCTCGGCGGCAGTGGGTTTTCGAGCTGGAGGCGGTTGGTTTTCGAGATGGAGGCGGGTTTTCGAGCTCGGCGGCAGTGGGTTTTCGAGCTGGAGGCGGTTGGTTTTCGAGATGGAGGCGGGTTTTCGAGCTGGAGGCGGGTTTTCGAGCTCGGCGGCGGTGGGTTTTCGAGCTGGAGGCGGTGACGAATATCGAGCTGGAGGTTTGGAGGTGGAGGCTGATGGGAATGGGAGAGATTTAGGGTTAGTGTTTTTGGAGTTTGATTTGGGTTGCGGATATTTGTTATAGACCCGAGTCACCCGACCCAATAGAAATTAGCTCATTTCAAATATCCGGATATCCGGACCGTATCCGCAATTTTGATCCAATAACCGTATCCAAAACCGTATCCGGATAAAAAATCAAAACCGTAACCGTATCCGAAACCATATCCGACCGGTTTCAATTTTTGCCTACCATATCCGCTTTCTAAACGGATACGGTTGCGATCGGTCCGGATAAAACCGGACCATTTTGCACCCCTACTAATAAGGCTTCTTTAATTTTTTCACCATTTTCTTCCTCCCTCATTGATCTCCTTTGGCCTACGGCACTGAGGGCATTGACTAAATCCACTAGAGTTATTTTGGATAGGTCTTTAGAGTCTTCAAGTGAGGAAATTTTGGACTCATACCTTTCGGGAACAGTCACTAAAATCTTATCAACCACTCTTTCATTTGAAAATATTTCACCAAGCAATCTAATTTGATTGACAATAGCCATAAGCTTACCGACATACTCTTTGATGGTCTCACCTTTCTTCATCTTTTGCATCTCAAATTCCCTTTTGAGATTCAGAACTTGCATCAATTTTGTTTGATCGTTGCCCTCGAACTCTTCCTTTAGCATCTCCCACGCCTCCTTAGGTGATTCACAAGTCATTATACTTGTCAAGATTCCGTCGACACGGCCGAATGAATACAAGAGAGGGCTTTTGGCTTCTTTGCTTTTTCTTCGTCGTGCTTCTTGATTTGGTTTAGGGTTGGATTTTGTGGAAGAGGGGTCGGCTCATAGTCACTCTCAACAACCTCCCATAAACTCAAAGCTTTCAAATGAGATTTCATCTTGATAGCCCAATATTGATAATTGTCTCCATTGAGGATGGGGTATGGAAGCGAAAAATTATTGGATACCAT